TTGATATAATTACTCACAATTTTACTTTCCTACTAAACTTTTATTTTGAGTACCAAAATTTTTAGTATCAAAATAATCTTTTTTTCGTAAGTTAAATGACAAGTAGCACATTATCTTGCCACAAAATCACTGAATTTTTTTAATCTTAATGATGTGTAAATTTCAGTAAGGAAAATTTAACCTTTTTTATTATTATTTCACAATTTTTAAACCCTAAAAAAAAAAATTCATCTTCCTTTCCCTCCTCATTCTCTATCAACCTTCCTCCTTCCTTTCCCTACTCATCCTCCTTCTTTCTTCCTCTTATTCTTTTTTTCTCTCTTCTCCCTTCTTCCTCTCCAAATCAAACCCAGAAAAAGCCCAGATCTGGTCCTTAATACCCATCTGCCTAAACCAATAAAAAATCAAAAAGATCTACAATATACTCTAAAAAATTCATCAAAAATGAAATAAAGGAATTAAATCATTGGCGGATCTAAATCAGAAAAAATAAAATAAAAATTGAAAGAATAAAAAGAATGAAAAGATGCTAAGGGACTCGAAATATGGGTGGTGATATATCAGGATGGTCGGCAAGGCTATCGGAATAGCCGTTTACGACGAACGAGACCTATGTAAAAAGGAAATCGTCATCGTCCCCTGGAAATCAAATCAGGAGAAAAACAAACAAAAAAGAAAGAAAAGAAACCATAGAATATTAATGCAGAGATTAGATCCAGAGAACACAGAGGCTTATCTAGGAGGATGAAGGGAGAAGAAACGCCATAGAGCGTTGCCTGTAAGTGCTTAGCTCGGTGGCCATTGTCTACATTTGGGATTGATAGTTAAATTAGAGTGTGCATTTTATAGTAAGATGGGTTTAAGAAAAACTCAGATCTGGGTTTGATTTGGAGAGGAAGAAGGGAGAAGAGAGAGAAAAAGAATAAGAGGAAGAAAGAAGAAGGATGAGTAGGGAAAGGAAGGAGGAAGGTTGATAGACAATGAGGAGGTACAATTGTCGAAGATGAAAGGAGGAAGAAGATGAAGTTAGCCAGCAAAGTGAAACGCAGATCAAAGATCATTTTTTGGGGGAATCCAACTCAGTGTAAATTAGAACCCTACCCGGCGCGAACCTACTCATGACGATCTTCGCCATCCCTTCATTCATGCTCTTCAGCTGTTGAGTGAACCCATTCATCGGCGCAAGAGGAAGAAGGCTAGGAAAGAGGAAGAGGCAAAGGGATGAGAGAGAAGAAGGGAGGAAGAAGAAGATGAATAATATAATAATAAATTATGTGAGTTTTTATTTAAATAAAAAAAATGCCACGTAAAAAAGAAAAATGTCATCTCATCATGTTTATTTTTCACGTAATTGTTATTTTTTTTAAAATGTAATTTTATAGCAAGATAACGTACCACTTGTCATTTAACTGATGAAAGAATCATTTTGGTACTGAAAATGAAAGTGTAAGGATAATTTTGGTATTTTTTAAAGTTGAGAGACAATTTTAATACTAAATTCAAAAATTAAGGGACTAAAATGGTATTTAAACCTTTTACTTAAAAACTTTTGGCCCATAGTGAGGCCTGTGCTCAACCATGGACCAACATGTTCTGCCATAATGCCATTGACCATAAGTAGTCAAGGATTCCCTATCTTCAGAATTAAATGTCCGGGCCAACCATGGGCCGACGTGTTCTGCCATTGGCCACATGTAGTAGAGGATTCATTAAAAGGGATTTATCTAACATATATTTTTAAAATGTATTAAATATATATTTTTATTATAAATTTATATTAAAAATAAAATTAATTTTTAATTTATCAGTTATTTAATTAAATTTATTTAATATTAAAATTAATATTAATTTGTATATTTTTATATATATTAATAATAATAAATATATATTTAATGAGCAATGCTAGTGGCACTCGCCTCCTGCACTCTTCGGCCAACCCTTTCTCTTTGATTGAGCCACGTTATTTTGGTTTCCGAGAGGTTGCGCCTGAAAGGTTTAAAGAAGCTTACATGGCCCAATGAAAGGGGAAGTGTTGGCCTAAGAGTGCCAAAAGCGAGTGCTCTTAGCACTGTTTATATTTAATATATTTTTAATATATACAATACGATATTAAAAAAATATTAAGGAAATAGGTAGTCAAGGATTCTCTATTTTCAGAATTAAATGCTCGGGCCAACCATAGGCCAACATATTCTGCCATTGACGTAAGTAGTCAAGGATTCTCAATCTAACCATAAAAAAGAAAAAAAGGATTCTTGCATAAAAAAAAAAAAAAAAGAAGAAGGAGGATTCTCTATCTTCAGAATGAAACGCCGGGGCCAGCCATGGGCCAGCGTGTTCTGCCATTGACTATAACCAGTCAATGGTTCGCTATCTTTCGAATTGAGTGCCTGTCTACAAGTGCATAACATCAATCATTAGAATTGCCTAACTCTCAAAAAGAAAAAACATCAATCATCAGGGTTCATATATGATGTATAATATTCCAATAAAAACTGGAAAGACTAATGCACAAATTATAATATTAACGGGCATCCATCCACAAACTGCAATGTTTGAAAGGTATATCCAGTAAATTGTCTAATAATAGATTATCAATTATGATCATTATTTTAATTCATGTTTTAACATCGCTTGGTATGTGCATGTGCATAATTAAACAGTGAGAAGGTATGTCCTGGACGACTGAGGGAGTGGGGGCCAACTCATCTGCGGCGGAAAGGAGGGCTGAGGTTATCGCCGCCAGCATTAGTTTTGGAAGTTTACAGTTATAACGTTGCATATTCTTAAATTTACCCTTCAAATATAAAAGTAAAAATAAATTTATTTTTAAAAATTAAAATAAATTATGGTTAAAATAAATTATTTATTATTTAACATACAAGGTCATCATACATCAAAAATTTGTCATTTAAATATTTTTAACAAAAAAATTAATGTGTGATATGATTTATCTTGATTAATAAATTTAAAAAATAATTTATTATTTTTTTCTTGAAAGATGAATCTATCCCTACTTTATTACTTGGTAGGTGGATTTGGGGTTTTGCTTTACCTTATAATGTGGCAGTAAAATTGATAACAAATTAGTTTGAGTGGAAAAACTTAGTATCCTAAATAAGATCTCAAAATTCGAGTTTTTTGAATGGAGAAACAGTTGTTAAGAGAGTTTCTCCTTTATAAAACTAGCATGACTCAACTTTTGTTTAAATCGAGTTTGATATGACTTTCAAATATCGGGGGATTTAATACAAAAAAATAAAATAATGTGACGATATATAAATATGATGTGACATTAAATAATATTAAATAGGTGAGTGTGTACAATATTATAAGTGAATTCTTAAATGATAAAAGCTTATAACATATCATATTATAGGTTTATAATATTATGTGCTATAACATTTTTGTTTTTGTTAAGACCACTAATTTGCTGCTAATTTTATATGTAATTTTGTTTGTTTATAATTTTTTAAATTATTAATTATAATATTTAAAAATATCTATTTATAAACTGATTTTAATTTATTAAATAATTAATGTTAATTATTTTATCAATTATCACTTGAATTAACAAATTACAATAAAATAAAAATTTAATAACTTTAGCGCTGCTAACAAAAAATAATGGTGGTGAGAACGTAACCGAAGAAGGGGCTGTTCTGGTTTGAGGATTTTGCCGAACATGGGCCTATCCCTTTTACTTGTTACCTCAAACCGTTTCACTGCAAGATAGAACCACCATTTTAAATGTCTCCAGATGAGTACAAAATCACAGTAATTTCAAATTAATCTCGATTTTTCTTTGTTACATTTTTCTTATTAATTTTCCTGTCACATTAAAGGTGAAAATTTTGAAAATTTCATTTAAAACTTGGATATTTGAGGAGAATTTATAATTTAAAAAAAATCAAGTTTTTTCTCTTCTTTCTTTCTTTCTTTGTTTTATATATATATATATATGAAAATAATATTTATCCATCTTATCAATATTTTTTACATTCTATTAAAATTCCTCCTAATTTATTTTGGAATTTAAATTTGATGTCTTATTAAACATGCAATTTCAAGTTTTCAAGTGTAGAACATTTCTAATAATTTTTTTTTCTTTTTCT